TGACTGGTGAGTGCCAACTAGCACGAAACCCAGGTCAAACAAGGCATCCTGACGATTGCCCCCAACCATCAAATATCACAATATTTGTAAATGACATACTCGATTGCACGGGTCATTGATACATCACAAATCTGTAATATTCATAATTGATCTACAAGTGATGATGATGATAAACACTCATGTCTAATAATTTCTTTCTCATCCCCAGCGTTAATGGACAAGTGTTAATAAACGTTTCCAACACCTTATTTAGTCACAGTTTTGATGATGAGAACACCAGAATTGAAGTGTATTCCAATTATGACATGGTAACAGTCCCCGAATTCTCCTCATTTTTAGTAATTACTAAGCATTAAAGTATCAGCTCCTCTCTTGGAGTCAAGTAGTGCCGCACTTTCGAAGACACGGGAATCAGCACTGTATGTCTGAGCCGATATTTCTGTCACCTGCCTTTTATCTCATGTATTTTTTCTAAAACCGGTGTTAGCCGGGGTGTATTCTTTTAAATTCATTTTTCTTATCCACTCATTTAACCTCGCCTAGAATACTAGCTCGCTAGTTTTCTAGCCGGTCCCAAGCCCGGATAAAGAGGGAGGGTTGGAGGGTGGTGCTAGCAACTCCTATTCCACAAAACTCAACCAAATAGCTACAGAAACGTCAACGCGCAAATATATTAAAGATTCTAAAAATATAAACAATAACCTTATTTTTCGGTGGAATCGGGGAAGTGAAATGACACAGGTTGGCGAAAGCCTTCGGGAAGCCAGTCAGCCAATGTGCCTTCTTTCGATGATAGCAAAAGTAAGGATGGGTACATGGAATGTTCGTACAATGTAAGGAAAAACTGGAAAGACTGCCCAGGTAGCAGCAGAAATGACAAGATATAGAATAGAAGTGTTGGGAATCTCCGAAAGCAGATGGAACGGAACTGGAAGGTGCCAACTACTACCAACTGGAGAGACAGAAATCTATTCCGGCCACCCAGAGGACAACCATGAGCACACCGAGTGAGTGGCCATCATGATGTCACCAACAGCAGCCAAAGCTCACATGCAGTGGGAACCAATCTCCTCCAGGATAATGAGAGCCAGGTTCAACTCAAAAGGAAGGAAGGTTACAATCATTCCATGCTATGCGCCTACAAGCGTCTCAGAACAAGGAAGGAAGGAGGCGTTCTACAGACAACTACAAGCAATAATGGACAACGTCTCAAATGGCGATATCGAAATCCTGATGGGTGACATGGATGCGAAGCTGGGAGGAGACAACACAGGAAGAGAACCCACCATGGGTCACGAGGCCCTCGGTGAAATTAACGACAATGGTGAACACTTCTCAGACTTCTGCGCCTTCAATGATTTTTGGTGATTGGTGGCAGTGTGTTCAAACACAAGGATATAAACAAGGCGACATGGGTTTCATCAGATGGAAACACCAAAAACCAAATAGACTTCATCTCAATTTCAAGAAAGTGGAGACGGTGTCTACTGGACACAAGGTCGAGGAGAGGAGCAGATGTGGTTTCAGACAGTTCACTATCTAGTACAAGGGACCTTCGAGGTGAAGCTGAAAGCCTCGAGGATAGCTTGGGATAGGCCACAATGCAAGTCCGACACTTAAAGACTGAAGGACACAACCACAAAGGAAACTTTCACTGAAACTGTCAGAGCGAAGCAGGAAACACTACGCGACATCACTGAAGAATCATGCGTGGAAGACCACTGGAAGTCTCTGAAGGCGATTCTCAACGAAACGTGTTCAACGGTTTTAGGAAGAGAGAAGAGACAATACAAGGAATGGCCCTCAACGGACACTTGGAAGCTAATAGAAGAAAGTAGAATGGTGAAAGAGGAAATGATTGAATCCAAAGACGGACAGGAGAAGGAGACGCTGAGCTCAACTTACACAGCTGTGCACTGGACAAAGAAGTGAAGAAGAGTGTTAGGAAGGACAAAAGACAATTCTACGACAATCTGGCCACTGAAGCTGAGAAGGCAGCAGGCAAAATGGACCTGAGGACACTGTATCAGACAACCAAATCTCTATCCGAGAAGAGAGCAACACAAGAGAAGCCTATAAAAGATAGCCAAGGGAACCCAATTAGCAAGGAAGAAAGACAGATTAAACAATGGGCGGATCACTTCAAAGGACTCTTGAACCGACCATCACCTGCAACCCGTCCAGAAATACCAACAACAGCGCGCACACAACTGCAAGTTTACACCGATCCTCCTACGAGAGCTGAAGTCTTGGATGCAGTCAAGTTTCTGAAAGCTGGAAAAGCAGCTGGACCAGATGGAATACTCCCTGGATCACTCAATGAAAGCGGACCCAGAGACGACTGCAGACATTCTGAATCACTCCATTATTGCAAAAGGTCTGGAAGAAGGGAGAATTGCCTACTGACTGGAGGAAGGGTTACCTCGTGAAACTACTGAAGAAGGGCGACTTACGTCTCACTCTGCAAGAACTGGCGAGGAATCATACTCCTGTCGACACCAAGTACAATCCTGAGTCGTATCATCCTGGAGAGAATCAAGGACGCACTGGGTACTGAATTCCGACCAGAACAATCTGTCTGCATTCAGGAAAGTCAGGTAAATCATGTTCTGACCAAATTGCAACTCTACGCATCAACATCATCATCATCATCGAACAAAGCATGGAATGGCCATCAAACCTCTACCTCAACTTTATAGACTTTGAGAAGGCCTTCGAAAGACAGCGTTGACCGTGAAGTAATATGGGAGGTACTCGAGTACTACGGCGTACCCCAAATATTCCTCAAACTTATTCAGCGGTTGAACAGCTGTACGACAACGGAACATGTCAAGTGATCCACAACGGAAAACTCACTCCGCGAGGCGTTTGGAGTAAACACAATAGTCAGACAAGGGTGCTCGCGATGATATTCCTAATTGTGATGGACTAACAGGATTATGCGTCAGACAGTGAGTGGGAAACGAGAAGACAGCGAGGGATATCCTGGACTGACCGACGTGAAGAACCTAGAAGACCTGGATTTCGTGCGTGGATGATTTATGTTTCATATCACACACACACACAAAATCGAAGACTTAGAGGTAAGTGAAAACCGACAAACTGGTCGGAGAAGCAGCCAGCGAAGACAGGACTCCCAGTGAACATAGACAGGACGAAGATTATGAAAATAACAAACCAACCAACCAACCACCACCACCAACGACAACAACAATAACATTTACATCCAGCCACCAGCCAATCACCATCAACGAGAGGGATTCGAAAGAGGAGGTTACTTCATTCACTTACTTATCTAGGGAGGGAGCATTGTCTCAACTACAGGAAGTCGGGACGGACGAGAGACAAATGTCAAATCGACCGAGAATCGGGTGGAGAGGGGCGAGAAACACATTCACTCATCAAGCTGAAACAACCAATCTGGAAACCAATCTTCATCACTCAGCCAGAATCAACAACAAAATTCCGTCGGTCGGATTCTCAATACAAACAACATCAGGTCAGTCAGTTCTTCTATACGGATCAGAAAGTTGGCGTGTTGGGGGGGGGAAGTGGTCACAAAGAATATTTCCACCAACAGTCTGTTTCACATTTTACCTTTATCAACAACTACTAACTGTCTTCGCTGGATGTATACTGGAGATGAGATGGCCGGGCCAGGCCAGGCCAGGCCGGGGGGCCGGAAATAATCACCAACAAGCACCAAACTATGGGAACAAACAAACAAACAAACAAAACAAGAACAAAACAATCGCCCATCAACAGCAAGTGTGCGAGAGGAAGTGAAGAGATGGATTGGACAGTCGGTCGCTGAGGAGGCGGCCGCTGGGTGACATCGCGCGCGCGTCAGGCTACTGCTCGAGTGGAACCAAGCCGAAAGGGAAGCAGGCGGCGAGTGGGTCGTCAGTTCGAGGGTGACATGGAGGAGATCATGTGAAGAGGAGTTGAAATAGTATGGACTTAGATGGATGCAGGTGAAAAGTACACCAGAAGAGAGGAGCAAGTGGAGACGTGGAGTGTAAGTCCTATGTTCCACTAGGTACCCAAGGGACAATAATAATAATTACTATTATTCACTTATATACTCGCTGTGTGCTATATCAAACTTCGGACGGCATCTGGTACTTACTGGTCACAAAATACAGGATGAAGTTTTCCTAAATGCTAATGGAATTTGTTACCAGCAGGGTGCACCAAATGGAGTGTGTGGAGAGATACTCAGAGATGACACTGACTAGTAGTTGTGCTAATATATATATATATATATATGTATCGAGGGGTAACAGAAGTTGGAAGTGATGCGCCATTGGATTCTAACAGACAAGCTGAAGAGCCAACATGCTTGTCTCATATCATAGACTGCATGTCACTGGTGTTTGATCCTGGTTAGTGTCACGGGTGCGTTCTGCTGAAGCTCCCCCCCCCAAAAGACTAAATAGCGGTCTAGTATTCTTTAGTTCTCAATGTTTTTCTGCTGAATCTAATTCGTGATCAATTCTGGAAGTTCTGTATATTGAGTGAGGCTCTATGTGGAGAAGAAGCAAGTCCAGCCAGCTAGCCCCTACTACTGGTCTGACCAGAGACTATAAATTCATGAATTTGTAATATTATCTTTCCTAATTCATCTGAAATTCAGTGTGTATTGTTATGTTGATGCTATTGAACTGTAATCCACTGGTATTATTATTGTTATTATTGATTCAATGTTATTTAAACAGCAACATTAATGTTGTTGTTCAGAACACTAATTCATTCATTCATTCATTCAGTATAATGGATGGATATATAACTGTAGAGCCCGATGATGATGATGAAGGGGTTATCTCAAAGAGTGTTTATTCATTGTACAGTATCCATTCTTTTGAAAATTTTAATGGGCATTTTTAATCAGTTGAATTATTGAATAATATTTTAAATCCAACAGAAGAAACAAAGGTATTCTGAGTGTTTATTGGTATACAACTCGCACAAAAAGGAATATATTTCTAAAAGAAACTTACATTGGCTATATTTTTCATTGTGATTTCATATTTGTTTTCATAACGAAGGAAGACTACAGTATCAGACGAGAATGCAAATGTTCCCGAGTGGAAGTATAAACGCTTGACACCTTTGCTTGGTTTCTTTAAAATTCGAAATGTGTCTTCTTTAGATTGAGAAAAATAAATGTCAGATCAGACAGAGAAGATACTTTATATAGGTAGGCATATGCATAAGAAATAAACGACAATGCGCAAAATACGTACATTCCATTATTACATATTGAGTATACTTATCTTACAATCCAATTCATCTAGAATCTCAGGTATTCATGTGCTAAAAGTACTAATTGTTTGAGTGGACCATGCAGATAGCGGGTTAAAGGCAGCGCTTTAATTTTATGTTATTATTTTACAATTTTGCCTTGAATTCCTAGAGGAACATAGGGCTTCAGCCAAACGTCTCCACTCCGTTCAGTTCTCTGCCAGTTCTCTGGCTACACGTCTTCCCACATGCTTTCATCTCTTCTTCACATCACCTCGTCCTCCTCATCCAAGTCACCCTCACCCTGACGACCAAGTCGCCGCTTCCAATTTGATCGAGTTCCACTCGAGGGATGGCCTACCTAATGATGTCACTTGATTGTCTGTTTCCTCAGAGTATGGTCAATCCACCTCCATTTCTTCCAGCGTATTTGTCGCACAATCGAATCCTGCTATGTTGGTTCGCTCATTGCGAGAGATCCCTGTTGTTGATCTTTTCTGGCCGGCCATCTGATCTTGGGCGAAGTACCGAGCGAAGACAGCCAGCTGTTGCCAAAGGTTTGTAGTTTATATATTATTATTACTGTTTCGTTAGGTTTCGAGTGGAACGTAGGGCTGGCTTCAACAACACATCTCCACTCTGTTCTGTTTTCTGCTATCCTCTTCAGCTGGCTAGCTGCACGACTGCCAATAACCTCTCATCTCCTCCTCCAACTCTCCCACACGACCTCCTCCATGTCACTCTCACACAGATGACTCACTCTTTGCTCCACATTTGTATTCCACTCGACTAATCGCCTGGCGCGCGATGTGGTTCGACGGTTTCACACATATTTGTTAAGCGATAGGTTCGTGTTTGGTTTCGCTCCTAGCCAGACTCTGTTGTTACTACTTCTTTCTGGCTGACTGGAGTCAGCTAGCAAAGGGGACAACTGTTGATAAAAGTCTGCAGTGGCCTGTTGGAAATCGTTTTTCGATACACGCTGGTCAAGTTTCTGACCCACGTAGAAGGACTAACTGACTAACTTCACATTTATTTTGACAATCCGAAAAGCACATGATTATTATATATATATAAGAGGTTTCATCGACAAGCAGAAAACGCCCTCAGTACAAATAGATTAAAAGCTTTCTCAGCTGTCAGTGCAACTTTTACTAGAAATGATTGAAGCACACTTAGTTATCGAAAACAAATGATGTATCATCGACATAATCATCCTTCTTCTGAAAGAAAACTTAAGTTATCCCCTTCCTTTCTATCTTTCGTTTTCAATGAAGCTAACGTTTCAAGTGTTTATCTATTATCATAAACGATGAGATGAGGAAGTTACACAGACTACAGATTGTTACACAATTTTTTTTAATGCCTCAGTGTTAATTGTTCATACAACATTGCATTCTTGAGTGAATCAGAGCGGAAGTTAAAATGAAGAAAGTTGTAAAAAGTGAAAAGGACAGACAGATTTCTTGTTAAGAAAGATAAATCTTTGGATATAGTTGTGTTTTTTTTGTTTTTCGTTGTTTTACAAATTTTACACAAATACTAAAACCAATAAAGCGTATCGTGAGAACAATTAGAAATCATTTGAACTTCCAAGTCTAAGCTATTCAGAGGACAAATATTATGAAAATGCTATGGTTATAGTATTATAACAAGCATGGTTGACGAAGGTTATAAAAATAACAAACCAACACACCACCACCAACAACAACAATAACAGTTACATCCAGCCACCAGCCAATCACCATCAACGGGAGGGATTCGAAAGAGGAGGTTACTTCATTCACTTACTTATCTAGGGAGGGAGCATTGTCTCAACTACAGGAAGTCGGGACGGACGAGAGACAAATGTCAAATCGATCGAGAATCGGGTGGAGAGGGGCGAGAAACACATTCACTCATCAACCTGAAACAACCAATCTGGAAACCAATCTTCATCACTCAGCCAGAATCAACAACAAAATTCCGTCGGTCGGATTCTCAATACAAACAACGTCAGGTCAGTCAGTTCTTCTATACGGATCAGAAAGTTGGCGTGTTGGGGGGGGGAAGTGGTCACAAAGAATATTTCCACCAACAGTCTGTTTCACATTTTACCTTTATCAACAACTACTAACTGTCTTCGCTGGATGTATACTGGAGATGAGATGGCCGGGCCGGGCCAGGCCAGGTCGGGGGGCCGGAAATAATCACCAACAAGCACCAAACTATGGGAACAAACAAACAAACAAACAAAACAAGAACAAAACAATCGCCCATCAACAGCAAGTGTGCGAGAGGAAGTGAAGAGATGGATTGGACAGTCGGTCGCTGAGGAGGCGGCCGCTGGGTGACATCGCGCGCGCGTCAGGCTACTGCTCGAGTGGAACCAAGCCGAAAGGGAAGCAGGCGGCGAGTGGGTCGTCAGTTCGAGAGTAACATAGAGGAGATAGTGTGAAGAGAAGTTGAGACATTACGTACCAGGGTGTTTAGACTGATTTGGTCAAACAACTGCAAAAGATGTGAAAGCTATACATCTACCTAAAAAATTTTTTTGGTGCAAACTTATTCATTTTACGCTAAGTATGCATAACTGCTATTTTATGTGTTGCAAATTTTCAGCATGATTTAGAAAAACAGTACAAGAATTTTGGCTTAGAGGAGAATTGTTTGCAGAATTCAGTCGTGAGTACGTCTAGGTTCAGTGCGAAGTCGATATGTCATTTTACACTTCTACCTCAAAAAAATGAAGCTTTGAGATAGTGTTTTCTCTTGATTTTCGTTTACTCTGAAGACTAATTAAGTGCATCACAGCAACATTATTTTGAAGAAAGCAATCTTAAAATATAAAGAATTCAACTCGTTAACAATTATTATTATTATTTTCTTTTACGAACTGATCACGGATTGATATCAGTTACAGAACTATTAAAAGCCAGCTGTGTACTGGACAGCTATTTCATCAGCCTAATGTAAGTTTCATCGGGAGTACCCTCCCACCACAGGGGGTGGGTCGAGCCCAGGACCATCCGGTTACAAGGCAACGTCGTACACCATTCAGCCACGCACTGGAACACGATTCAGTGGCCAGTGAATGAATTCCAACTTCTACCAATTTGTGATTTAGCGCTATCCTAGCCATTGTCGTCAGTAGGAAATCCATCCTCACTGATGACATCTGGATGGGCCTCACTGGTCACGATTTTTCACTAGAACTCCAGGAAACTCCATCCTGTAGCAAGTCACTAGCGAGCATCAGATTAGTTTTCTTTAGCTGTTTAGTAAGGGTCAGTTTTGTTTTTACGAGTTGATCACGGATTGATATCATTTAGACAACCACGAATTGGTAGAAGTTGGAATTCATGAGCCATTGAATCGTGCTCCAGGGAGTGGCTGAATGGTATACGAGCTTTCCTTGTGACCGGAAGGTCCTGGGTTTGAACCGCCTGTGGTGGGTGCGTACTCCCGATGATTCCCAAACTAGGATGAAACAGCTGTCCAGTACTCCCTGAAGGTTTTCCAGTGGTTCTCTAACCGACATCAATCAGTGATCAACTGGTAAAAACAAAACTAGCCCTTACAAACGAACTGTAGAAAATTATTATTATTATTATTGTTAAGGTAGCTAAAAACGTGCTGAGATGGCTAGGTCACATGCTGAGAATGCCTAGCCATCGCCTCCCCCGACGGACATTACCAGCTGATATAGTCCCAGGTTGGAAAAGAGTAAGTGGTGGCCAAACAAAAATATAGCATCAATCCATGAAATCCTTGACAGTTAAACTGAGTCATTTAGGGAGATGCAGACTTCCGGGTTGGGGCCGTCGGGACTGACTCTAGGAATCAATGACTGGAGACAATAGGTGACACATAGCTCAAAATCTTTGTCAGTAGCGCAGATGTATTCAGTCTCTGCAATCTTTCATATTCCTTTCTACCATTACCCATTCTGTTTCACTCTTATACTTGTCAGACTGTATTGATTCTCTTCACTCGTCTTCTTGTCTACCTTTGTGTGTGCTATTTGGAACGTTGCAACTCGAACTGGTGCACTTCGGTGCCAAGTTCTATGTTGAATCCAGACAGAGAGAGAAAAACGTGTTGCACTTAAACTTACAATTTACGGGTGACATTGCGAGATCACTGAGAAAAATGTTCTTTGCTGCCACTTTGCGAATAACCTACTCTAGTCGTCCACTGGTGCACCTTAATGATGTCAAGGAAATGTTACCTCGATTGTCTAATTCTATGTGTATATTTATACGTTGACCTGCTCTTGCAGAGCGAGGTACATAGGGTGTTCGTCGAGAAACATATCTCGCTGAGTTAAAGCTTAGCACTTCCCAGTATGGCTGAGCAAAGGAGGAACTAGAGGCATTAATTCATCCATATTGCAACATATTGTAGATGCTGACCACACAACATATGACACATAGTTCAGTATAGTCTACAAAGTCCGACAAAGTTTGTCGCAAGGGACACGTAAGCATTTGCTTCGTATAACAGAGGCTATAGCAATGCGTAACATAAAGCCTGAACTTTGTGTACAAAACAATTTTCTATACGATCTCTTTCGTTATCATAATCTTGACTTTACTATATAATTCGCATAATGACTTTTTTATCCTCCTTTTTTCCGTGTTCCACTTTTTCTTCATTTCATATTGTAACAATAGAAGGTAAGACACGGAAGTCAAAGTATTCTGTCTCTAACATCAAACAGAACGTTCAAATGGATACATCGTATAATTATTGTTAATGCCGAATTGAACTGTGTGAACATGTGAGAAAAACTAACATTCCGTTGGCACACATTGTCTGTATCACATCACCACCACAATTTATTTTACTTTATGTAATCATATTCCTAACACTGTTTTATCTAGTCTACTACTTTGTACAACATTTCACTCATCCTGTGTT